TAACCAGAGTTAGTAAACTATTTGCGAAACTATTCCAAAGTCATAGGTGGTGCTGATCGCAGGCGGTAAAATTTGTATTCGAACTGGATACTAGAAATCAATTCGACAGTAAAAAATTAATAAATTGCCAAGTTTTTGTAATTAATTCATGAAAATTTATAGCTGCACAGCAAAGTTGGAATTATAGGCAACATTCTTATAGGATGTTTAATTTAATAATTAATACTTACATGAGCGATAGGTTTTGTATTTCCTGTATCTAATGATTATTTATATTTTCGTTTTCTTTCTGTAGTAAGTAAGATTGCTGTAGAAAACTGTTTTTCTTGTATAGTATTCTTATTATTTTGTAATAAATATATAGTAGCATAAGAAAGCGTGAAAAATAAATTTTTTTATTAAGAAATTTTATTTACAATTGTTTATTTACAATATTTTCAGGGGCGAAAAATGAATATAAAATGAAATATAGTTTGAAAAAAAAAGTACTAATACGGACAGAAGCGAACCCCGGATTTCCAGCATATGAATTCTCGAACGTGGCCATTAGGCCACGATTTCACTTTATGATTGAGGAAATAAATCTATAAATGGCGACGTAATAAAAATTTAATCATAAATATCTTAAAAACTTTTGAGTAATTGCGGCTATAGTGATATATTTTGTTAAATGCATGACGATATCTACAAACCTGCAAAGTTTCAACTAAATCGGTGGCTCGAAGGACTCGCACTTTCCTTCTAAGACATATATATTCCTTGCGGAAAATAAAAAATTTAAATGAATTCGTAATTAATACTGTTGAATTAATATAAATTTTAAAGTCAATATTATAGAGGTATTAACTAAAATACTTTAAAAGTAATAAGAAACGTATTAATTAAAAGTTCTAATTAAAAGTTATCTTCTTCTTCAATTGAAATAAAAGTAAATTATAATTACAAATAAGACGATAAATTTAAATGAAATTGAAAATATGATAAATAATCAAATAGTATTGATATAATATACAAAATTAATTTTTATCTAATTATTTATGAATTTCTTGTCCTTATTGACATAAATCGTGACTTACTGTTTCGAATATATAATTTCAAGTTAACTATAATTACAACTGAAATAATGATATATACTTTTTGAAATGACTTTTATATGTTTATAGTTTTTTTATAAATGCGCATTTCAACTTCATTGTTCAATGATGTATACATCGTATATACATGTATATATACATATAGTATAAATACAAGTATATAGTGTATAGTATAAATTTATATATTCTATTTACGACGACATTTTATTTTGCATCTAATCTATTAAATGATGAATATTTTTTGCTTTATAAAATTTATTTTCTAATTATCTATTTAATGATTATATTTAAACAGTTTCATTCTCTTATAGTTGCATATTGAATAACATGGATACTACATATTGTTGAAATTTGATATTTATACTAATAATATTTATAGTCGAATATTTATAACAAGATACCGAATAATTTAATGTAGATTATATCAAATATGAAAAATATGACAAGATCACTGATTTTTTATAATGATTAAAATTGTTTAGTGCATGTATAGTATAAGTAAAGATTATAACACATTGTAGCTATAATGTAATCTACTTTAATTATTACTTTTAATTTTATAGCAAATATACGTACATATATGCATAAGTGTAACAACATTATCATAAGATAGCCTTCAACAGACACATTCTCTGCAGTTGTAGTTATTTTTGAATGGTTTCAATTTAAAATACTATACATTATAAATGTAATTTATGCTTTATGTAATGACATATATATATTCTTGCATTTAAAATTACAAATTTATCAACTTAATATACGTACTGTGTAGTAAATAATAGTCTTTAAATGCACAATATATTATTAGATACTACTGTGTGTATTTTTATATGAAATATACATTCCATTTGACATATGTACAAATTAAATTGTTAAATTCATCTACCTTCATTTATGAAGGCATATTATATAGTTTATTTGCAGCCAAAAATATTTTTTTCCTAGTCTCTGGATCATACATACTTTAAATGAAGAGTATGTAAAATAAGAAATGCATGTTTCCTGAAATATAGGCTGCTTCAATAAAATAAAATGCTGTTACTTTTAAACAAAAATATGGATATACTATGTACTTCTTCTTTCTTGTTTATCGAAATACACTAGATTAGATGTGTTTAATATATTTTTTAAGAAACTTTCACAACTGTAGCCATGGTCTTAGTTCCACTTGATTGCGGTACAAGGCGAACAGTTATCAGCGAAAGGTCTAGCATTTTACGCTGGTATTTCTTGTGAAACACCATAGCAGCAGACTGCGTCTTAAACACAATCGTTGCGCTGCGCTCACCCATTTGTATGCTCTATAACACGAACAATATAAACAGATAATTATTAAATTAAGAAGAATACTTTTTATTAAGGAAGATCGAATGTGATAACTTTGCTATAAGAACATAATAAAAGCATGAAGATAAATCAAGTAACACAAATATAATTTTAACACATGACGCACTAAGATAAATTACATCGATTTTGTTATATGCAATATACAATTAAACAATATATTGCGAAATATATCGCGATATTCTTTTATTATATTGTTTACTATATAATTTTGAGCTATAGTTATTATTTGTACATATGATTTCAATTTTTAAATTACATGAATATCTTGAATAATTTGAATAATTACTTTGAATATCGTTCAAAATAAATTTGATCATTGCATATTAATATTCTATCCACACATATTAAGGAAAGTAAGACAATATAGTAATTACTAAATGAAAAGGTTTGCATTTTGTCATGAAAAAGTGTATTGTCAAATATTAAATGAATACAAAACGGTATTGGGATAATCATTTTTGGACAATTATATTAACATAAATTTACTATCCATTATATTAAATAAATTCATATACTTCAATGAAAAATGTGTAGGCATTAAACGGCGAGATTCAATGCAAGTTTTGAAAAGTTACACAGTTATAAATCAATCATAATTTTTGTCAGAGAAAAAAAAGAAAAGAAAATGTAATTTAGTTGTACTACAGTTATTGAAAATGTAATACACGATATATTAATATACATAAATCTTAATTGAAATTATTATCAAAATGATTATCGAACAATTATAGTGTAAAAAACACACGGAAAGAATAAAAAATCTATATGTATATTATTATTAAGAAACAAAAAACTAGTTTTATAACTTTTAAAAGTAAAATACATGAAAACGAAGCTTTATAAATTTTTAACGAAAATAAAATCTGAAACGTTTTTATGCAAAAATAGTCACCTCAATTGTTCCGATGCCTTGACACATACGTCTAATTTGTACTTCAGACGTACTTGCTGCTAAATTCTCTACTTTCACTGTATTTGTTCTTATTTCCGGTATCTTTTTCTGTTGTATTGGTGTTTTTTGAAGTACAACTCTTTGGTTACTTTGTGTACTGACAACTTTTTGTGTATTGGCATTTGTTATTTCTTGTACATTAATCACAGTTTTTTGAAGGTTTCCTGGTGATTTTTGTTTAACAATTCTCTGTGAACTACCAACAACTTTCTGTCCTACATTTGTCAGTTTTCTCAATATATCAGCCTGATTCTGGCCAACTCTTTGAGTTGAATACTGGGCAATATTAACTATTTTATTTTGCATCAGTAGTTGTCCTTTCTGCAAGTTCGATACCGTTTTTTGTATGGTGGTAGCAACCTTCTGTGTATTTGATAATGGTTTTTGAATTACAATCCTTCGTGTTCCAGATTGAGAATTCAACACTTTTGTATTGTATTGACTTTGTTCATTTACTTGATTAATCAAATGTCCAGAATTAGTGTCTTTTGTACAATCTATAGAATCATTAGGTTGTACAGTTTGCATTGTCCTGACAATTCGTACACACGATGGTTTCTCTGCAACCTATAACAAAAATAATTATGAAAATATATATAAAATATGTGTGGTTGTGCTATATCAAAAAGATTAAGGAAAAATATCAATGCTTGAGTACTGATTAATGCTAGTATAACAACATCAACATTAGTTTTAAAAATCACATTGAATAAAATTCAATTAATAAACATTTCTTATGTATGATTTTAACAAGAAATAATAAAAGTTTGGAGGAAATTAAAAGAACAAAAAGTATTTACAAATATATTTTATTGAGACACGAGTAAAAAATATACAGAAAGTCTAATAGATATGTGTGTATATATCTTTTTATTTAATAATATTTTATTTTAAAAAATTTGATATATCTTAATGAAATAAAAATAAATCTTTTATTTTGATAGATACCGCAGTAATTGTTCTTATGTTCAAAATATTTATATACAATATATGCAAAATATATATGAATATTATTTTAGTATAATACAAACAAATAAAATTCTATTAAATACGAATGCTGTTTATCCAACTTGTTTTTTGTGTATTAAGCATAAATTGCTTATAAAAAGTATCAAAGCCAGAAAATAAATGGTTAATCATACTAACCGTTTTAAAAGTATGTATTAAAAAAAAAGAGAGAGAGAGAGAGAGAGAGAGAGAGAGAGAGAAAAATGAAAGAAAATAAAAAAACATAAAAGGAAAAAGATAAATGTCCATTTTATCGTTTTATATATCACTGATAATTAAAAATATATGGCATTTTTAGTTATGTACCTCTGTAGACTGAGCATGGACGGGACGACCACGTCCTCTTCCAATACTGCTATGTCCTTTATTTATGGAAGCATCTTTTACTACTCCCATAAGTGCTGATATAGGTTTTGCATCCGGTGTATTCTCATTTGCTGAAAAATAAAATATATTACTTATGCACACAGGTGTATTGTTTTAGATTGTTACTAATATTTTTATTATGTAGAATTATATACATAGTATAGTTATTTTTTAAATAAAGAACATTTGATTACAATTTAAACAAAATATTATAATTTATTAAATAAATATTTAATAATAAATTACTATGATAATGGAAGAGAATAAAATTATCTTTTTAGAATATTTGTGATTTTCTGATGATGTTTAGTATAATTAAAATATATGTAAATTAAAAAAATGTAATGGAAATTTATAAAATAACTTGTTATTTTAATACTGTCTTCGAAAATCTGTTAAAACAAATGTTCGTTTAAACAAATAATTATTAAATTATTTGTATTTCACATTTAATTATATAATCATACTTACAGGTATTACTTTCGTTTTTAGCTTCATCATTTTGTTTCTCCATTGCAGCCATCTTTCGTCGATTTTCCTTTTCACGTAGAATCTTTTCCCTCAGTCGTTTCTGTTCCTCCATCTTTTTTCTATACTCCTGCATTTCTGGATCATTTTCTTCATCCTATAAATTTTTTTTTCGAGGAATATGTAATATATAAGGAGAGGATAAAATATACATGTACATACCTTTTTATCATTATTCGTATTATTTAATGTATCTACTGTTCGTACTTCTTGGAGGTTTCTATTGCTAAGCTTTATTCTTTTTGGGCTCAAATCACGTAAAGGTCTATCTGTGGAGTCAGGAATTCTTTTCTGTGGTAATCTAGTTCTTATCGACGTATTTACTGGCCTATTATTGGATTTCTGCACGTGATTTTGATCATAATTCTCACGATACGCAGTTGATGAAAAAGTCCTACTTTTCGAAATATGATCGTTTTTGGTTTTCGATGACAAATCTCTATCGCGATAATTTTGGTGGATTCCTCTGTGATCCTATGCATTTTTATAAAAATATTGAATAACTTTTTACGTTTAAGATGCTTATTAACACTTTGTACAGTACCAACCTGCTGATAAGTATTTTTTTGATCCCACTGATCAGACTTATATTTCGAACTGGACTCATAGCTACCGTCTCGTAAGTAACTACTTTCTAATGGATATTGCTTATTTGGAGTTGCAGTTTGATTCTTCTGTGGCTTATTTTCTTGCCACACATCAGAAAAATATGCATAAGGATCCTATGTGAAGTTTTATAATTATTATTTATTCAAGGATTTTTTAAACTATGCATTTAACGATAATACAGAATACATACGTCGCTCTTATTTTGTTGATAATTTTGCTGATAATATGGCGTTCCTTGTTGAGTTTGAGTATAAGAACTTTGATTTTGATAAGGGATAACGGGTTGTGAAAACTGGCCAGTAGGAACTTGGGATGATAAATTAGGTGCTTGTTGTTGAGTGGAATCCCAGGCGAGTCTTGCTGTTTAGATATCAAGTCAAAAGAAATTGCAAGTAAAATGAAGGAATTAATACAAAATGATATAGAATCGAGAAAAGTTAACAAAAATTGGCAGTCATTTGGAAACACTTACCATCATTTGTTGATTGAACGGCGCCTCGAAAGTGAGGATTGATTAAAATCTTGTGCCCTGGAGGTAAAGGTACATTGGGTACATTGGAAGTGGACTGTTGCGGTACAGGTAACGTATTAGTATTAAATTGGCTGGTAGATACTTGATCGGAATAGCCCGTCCTCGAATCATAAATGGGTCGGTTTTCAAATTGAGCTGCTTCTTGGAAAGGTGGTCTATTCTCGAAGTGTGATTGATTTGATATTTGATTGACATTAGGATGATTAATGAGTGGTCCCTGAGAAGAAGCTTGTCGTGGAAATCCTTGTAGAGGTAAAGGCTGGCTATTCTGCAACAACGGTGCCGATGTCCCAGGTACCACTGAATTTAAATTTCCAAGGAGCGTTCCTCCAGGATTTCCTTGCAATAATGGGCCTTGATTATTTTGTATTAATCGAGCCTGATTATCTTGCATAAGGACAGTTGAATTTTGAAAGGGGGCCGTGACTGCTGTTGGTCCCGGTTGAATTTGGACGTATGGTGATTGATTCGATGGATGATTGTAAGACGGTCCTTGAAGGGATCCCGACAAGCCAGCTCGAGGTCCATAATCTAACCTTGGTCCAATTATTCTAGGATTCACTTGATTTTGAAATTGGTTAGGATTGAATTGTGGTCTATTATCTACAAAATGTGATGGACCTTGGAGCGAACCATTTGGGGAATAGTGCTGGAAAGGTTGTATTTGAGAATTTTGTTGCTGATAAATAATCTGTTGATTTTGCATATTGTTTGGTACTCCGAGGAGAAAAGGTGGCCGAGTCTCGAGCAAAGGTGGCCTGCACGCTGCTGGTTGTTGATTATCGAAGTTGGCATTGCGTGTATTACTGAACCTGGTGAATCACGTTTTACAAAAAATTACATTACAGATGTTGTACACACATACGCGCGCATATATAAAGACAAGTGACCAAAGTCGGACTCCTGTGTCGGATTACTGATTTATTTTGTCAAACAGATGCGGCAAATAAGTGATTAGCGAAATCATTATTTCAGCAAAGGATCAAAAAACGACTGCTACCAGTGATGTGCTAGATATTTAATGTTTTAGCATTAAAAAAGTTATATGAGAAAAAGGAATCGAGTGTCTGACTTTTGGTACTTTCCTATATATAATATGACCCACGCACACGCACATATGCACGCACGCTCATTTGCACACATCGAAACTTTATAAATCGCAAGAATTGCGCGTACCTTAGATTAAAATTTCCTGAATTTTGAGTATTAAATCTTCCTCCGCGACTTCCTCTTGTACTTCGGCCTCTTCCGCGGCCTCTAGATATCAGCTTTGATGGTTCCGACGTTACCACATTTTCCAAAGTATCTGGTATATGATTATTCATTTTTGAAGAAACAATAGTTCTTTCGTTTTGAAACCTGTTCCTTCTTTCTTTGGCTTCTTCGCATTCATCATCTTCCAATCCTTGTCCATTCCCAGAATAGATTTTTGCATTTTTCTGCAGCTTCTCCCGTAGATCTCCCTTTTCGATATTATTCGAAGTATTAATACTATCGATCGTAGAACGTTCGTCATGTTGTCGCGATTGCTCGCTTTTGTATTCATTAATTTCGTCCTGTTCGTAATATTTCGACTGAGCCTCTAGGTGATCTCTGTCCTCGTAAAAATCATTGTCGTTGCTTCTATCAGTTTTGCTCCTATTAAATTCTATGTTTTCATCTTCACCATCTAAGTCGTCGAGTGCATCGGTTACTCCTATGTCCAGTACATCATCTGTCTCCTCTTCTCCCTTATAGCTATTCTGCTGCTCAGGGAATTAAATTGCCAAATATTTGTAATGAAAATATAATATTTAGCCGTAGACGTTACAATCTACTCTTAATTAACTGTATATTTAGCAATACGTAAGAAATTACTCTTTTATAATTAAAACGAAGATACCGCATAGTTCGTGGATTTTACCCCGCAACACCGTACTTTTTTCCTATTTCTATCAATCTGTCTTCATCCTCATGGATTTCCTTAACTATTATCAGTCGCTAATAATAAAATTTAATCGCAAATATCTCGACAAGTCTCATTGTTAAATAAGATCATAATCCATGCAAATGAATATTATTATAACGAACAATCAATTAGAACAGTTATTTTCTGGGCAAAAGCGAACAGTATATCTGATATTTTATAATACCAAATTGTTATAAATATATATTATACAATGTGTTACAATTTCAGGTTGCAGCAGCATGATATATTATAATCAAACAGTATGTTTCGTTAATACATTCGTATTATAAATTATTTATACATCTATACATACATACATACATACATACATATAGTTTTCTAAAATTTTATTTCTCACGATTTGCAGTAGAATTCAAGTTTATACTTAAATTTTTTGAATATTTCATACTACTGCTTTTTGATGAAAGTGAAAATATACACGACTCTAAATGCTATACAAATTGATAAGGTATGCATTAATATGCATGATATTGTTACAATCATTTAAAGAAAAAAAAAAAACGAACGACATTACCTTCTTACAATATCATTATCACGACAATCAAATTCGATTCTTTTTACATAACGTTTGAATGTTTCAATGAAAGAATTCATAATACGTAAACTTCACCAAGTAAAATATATATAATTTTATTATTAAAATAAATTTAAATATATGTTAAGAATATTCTTAATTTACAACATATCTTACAAAATGATAATTTCATGGTTACATTTAATGTGTTTTTTAAAACTGTCCAAAATGTTATATTCTTTCCTAACTACAAAAATAAATTATAATCACATGAAACTGAAATTTTAAATATAATTTAAAAGAAACTATACCAATATAAATGCTTCAATTATGCGTTTTATATATATAAATTTTCATTAAAACATTCTTCACTATATGCCTGAGTATATTATTTGTAGCAATTGTAATATTTAAATACATACATTACAAGTCAGAATTTAATAGTGCTTTAAGTTGTAATTTATTTAAAGTTTATAAATAGCATGTTAACAAATTTGTGTAATATTATTTCTCCAACTATTATTAACATTGATTCTGCTTACAATATCTGATAGTTTTGTTTGTTTTGCTAATAAACAGGGAAAAGGAAACATAATAAATATAAATAATATACTATATTTAAAAATCTCATTATATAAAAATCCTCAGTGGTTATTAATATGAAAAATATAATCTGTATTAATGAAAGTAATTATAAAATTTTAAATAAGTAAAATACAAAAAGTAATAATAATATAAAGAATAGGATTTGTTTGCAGTAAATATTATTACAATACAATATGAACACGAAGAATAATTATAAATTGATTATCTTTCATTTTCCCTGCATAAAGTTTCACTAAATATGATTTACATATTTCATTTGTTTTATTTTCACAATTTTTATATCATTTGCATGATATAATAAAATTCGAAAATATCGCGATAAATTTTATACGCGAGCAATTAATATTTAATATTTGTATAAAATACAAAATCTTCGCCTACGTAAAAATATTTAATACTTTTTTACGCATTAATTTTAAGCTTTAAATATAATCTGTTACAATAAATATATAATATTTACGCTCACAATTTAGTGAAGTACTTATTTCACCTTGAAAAATTTCGAAGTGTTCAAGTAAAATATATCTTTATTTAATGATATATGCAATTGTTCTTTTGCTATTATCAATATTTAAGTAAATCGTGTTAATAATTACTTTAGCAAGTAAATGTCACACATAAACTCTTTTTATATATCAGCAAATAATACCTTAGGATAGTACCACTATACAATAAGAAATATATAACATGAAGTTACAATTTCAAATTTGTTTATCTTAGTCATAATATACAAAGTAAATAAGACAAAACTAAATAAAATTCTTCTGCTTGCTGAAATATATTATTTATAGGATACATGAAAATAAAATTATATTAAAGTTAATTTATTTATATCAAATAAGAAACTTTTTTCATAAAATTTAAAAGAATTATTAGAAAAATAATAAAAGGTTTAGAAATTATAATCTTTAAAATTACTTGATCAATGTGGAAATATTTTGATTATAAACAATACTCTAACCAAAAATACTTAATTTTTTAACTGAAATAAAAATTTTAAATGCATTTGACATTATACTCTAACATTATATCATATATCATATGATGCATAATGATAAACTTTTATTTAATTTTCATTTAATAACAAAATAATGGTCCAGCAATATGCTCACCCTCTCCAATTCATAGTCGTCTGCCAGAAGAGCTTCCTCTTCATCATTGCCTAGATCATATTCTTCATCTCCAAGATCTTCATCCAATAAGGTATCATCACTAAACAAATAATTGTTAAAAACTATAAATAAAGAAAATTAATGCAATTGTAATAACAGAAAACCATGTTGCAATAAATTATTGAAGTAATAACATGAAATGATATCATGTACATAAATCATTTGTCGATACTTCATACAAAACTAGTAAAAATTTATATCTTACTTACAAAAAAAATCAAATTATTAAATATATTTCAATTTGTTATCTTGAATATACATGTTTCAATAAATTTAACGAATATACAGGAATAATATATTTACATTAATACAAATTCTTTCAAATTTTATAGAAACGAATGATATACACTAAGAAATAACCAAAATAATGTTGATTAAAATAATCATTTATATATAATAAAAACAAATAATATTTTCACGTTTACTAAATTTCATTGATACTTTGCAAATAATATAAACATTATATTTTACAAGTTATATCAATTGTAAGAATAATAAGTAAATAATTCAAGAAAAGGAAGAGTGCAATAGACGCTAGAGAAAACACAATGTATGTCACTATTAACAATGATGATAACTCTAACCTCAATATTTACTAGAAGCAACTGAAATTACTTTTATGAGGAAAATAATAAAGCTATTATTATGTGAAATATTTACAAAATGAAATTAAGTACTAAAATTATTATTCTAACATTCATTTTCTACAATGAAGAAAGGAAAATTTCTTACTGTTCCGACATTGTACATCCACTTTCAGATACTTAAGTGAAAGTCTGCAATCTATGATGGCTACGCGATAGCAAGCGTTGCGTAGGTCACATCGACTGTTACTTTCGATATATCAACCTCATATATCGATTACTCGAATTAATGCCAAATGTAATATGATAACAAATATAATATTACAACCAACTTTAGTACAAATCGTGTTTAAAGTAAAAATGGTAACAATGCGAGACTCCGGCTTTGATATACATAACACAACCTACCCTCAGCCTCTCTCTACACTCAGTCTGCCTGTTACCCAGTCTCCCTCTATCGGCTTCTCAAGTTCCCGCTTTTTTTCAAATATTTATATTGGCAGCCTCAAACTTTTCGAAGCATAGAAAAATGAATAAGTATAATAATGTACATAAGCTTCATTTATTTATATTAATTCCGTAAGTCTGTAATTTTGTGTGTTTAATAGCATATTTATTCAATAACGTCTAAGCTTTTCCAATATATATCGAGTCATTATTAATAATATAATAGTATCATACACATATTTTTAATAATTAGAAGGTCATATTTATTGGTCATAGAGATTTTGAAAAATTTAGTTTTACATATAAAGTTCTTTTCTTATAAATTTCACATCATATTGACTAATTAATAATATCATAGTATACTGTTCCTAATTATAAGACAAATTATAGTACTTCAAAAGATAACAATTATATTTTTATATTTGTATTTCCTAAAGATAAGTAATAACAAATGTAATAAATAACGTCTATTTCTCATAAAAATTGGATACTAACTAAATAATCTGCTATCTGTAATCTGCATTTTATAGAAACTGATATTTAAAGGTACTAGGTATTTTATTGCTTTGCCGTATACTAGATAATGTTTTATTCAAATGCTTCAGGTTTAGAACAAATATAGTACTTTTGTAAATGCTAATTTAAAATCTCACTTTTTGCAATCTGAAAATCATAAATGTACTAAATTAACATATATATCATATATATGTAAATTAACATACGTGCATAAGAATTAGTGAGAAAATTTCTATTTGTACTTACAACAATTACAATACTAACCTCTAACACGACTTTGTAATTAACCGCATAATTCTGTTTTTAAGTAACTAATAATTTTAACCTCTTTCTACATATTTATTTCATCTTTAGCTTCATACAGATAATTTTGTTTCTTTTAGGTTTCTATTAACCTATTGTAATATATATATGTATATAATAATATATAATAATATATAACAATGTATAATAATATATATATATCTTTATCAATGAGTAAATGTTTCAATATCATACTTACATTTTTTTGAGACCACTGTAAATATTTCAAATATATCACAACATCAAACTATTCCGATAACCCGCAAAATGTATATCACAATTTATAAATATTTGTATATTTCTATAGTACTTTTATTAATTATAGTTATAATATATATATGATACGTAATATTCTTTGACATATAAATAATAAAAAATCGTATATATTAGAATAATTTTTCATAGAAAAGATTTAATAAAGTTTTAATATAAGATTTCACTATTAAGATCTTAATTTTCACATAAATAGTGTTCACGTTGTTGTGTTGTACGTACTAGAGTCGGTGTAATAAAACATGACACCGCATAGAATATAATAATTTTTAATGCTACAGGAAATAAATTAAATGAAACAAAATACGAATGTTATTGGTTTAATTATTGTCATTAATGTGACAATGATATAATATTAAGTATATATTTATATTTCAATTTGTATAAGTAAATATAAATAAAACAAAAATGTAATGTAATTTTAGTGTGTAACATATTGCATATGTTTATTTATATTTAGCTGCATATATAAGTATACACGTGATAAGCGCGCCAGTGGATAGATATATACGTATACGCATGCATGCATGCGATGCATGGCGTATAATGATAAACCAAAAAAATTTTTTGTTATGCGAATAAAAAAGAACGGTTACATTTAATTTGGAAAAGGAAGACATGCATTCCATACTTTGCAATTATTTGTATAAGCATTTTATAAATAACAAAGCATTGTTAAGTTTACACAAATCTAATTTAGGATTGCAGAATTTTCAACACAATAAGCCTGCTATAATTTTAGGTATAGAATCTAGTTGTGATGATACAGCTTGTGGAATTATTGATAGTAATGGAAATGTCTTAGGTGAAGCAATTAATTCTCAACAGTTGATCCATTTAAGGTAATGAAAAATTATTGCCAACGATTTTTTATATATTTCTATATATAATCTATGATAAAGTTTTTATATATTATAAAATTTTTTATATATATTTTTATACTTTCTATGTAACAACTTTTGTTTTTTAGTTTTGGTGGAATAAATCCACCAATTGCGAAAATGTTGCATTTTCACAATATTACAAAAGTTTGTGAAAATGCATTAAGAGCTGCAAATTTAAAATTAACAGATATTAATGCAATAGCTACAACTGTGAAACCTGGTCTTTTTTATTCTCTCAATGCGGGGACACAATTTGGAAAATATTTAGCAAAGATTGGAGAAAAACCTTTTATACCAATACATCATATGCAAGCTCATGCTTTGACAGCAAGAATTAATGAAAAGGTTTTTTTACAAAATGCTAATATTTAACATAAAAAATTACTAAAAAGGAAAATAGAAACTACTTTTTAATTACAGATTGATTTTCCATATCTTATTTTATTAGTTTCTGGAGGTCATTGTTTATTAGCAATTGTTGCAGATGTAAATAAATTTTACTTACTTGGTACTACAATGAATAATGCACCTGGAGAAGTTTTTGATAAGGTAATAATAAGAATAGCTTTTAGTTTAAAAAAAAGAAAAATTATTACATTGGGAATAATATTTTGTTTTATTTTATTATAATTGTTTTGTTCAATAAATTTTATGCTTTATTTAATCTTTAATATTAGTTATGTTTTACATAATCATTGAGATTAATTTATGTTTATAGATTACGCGAAGACTCAAATTAAGAAATATTCCAGAATTCAGTAGTTTATGTGGTGGCTTAGCCCTAGAAACTGCAGCAAGTAAAGCATCAGATATTAATCAGTTTTCGTTTCCTCTTATAATGACAAAAGTGCGTAATTGTAATTTTAGTTTTGCTGGATTATTATCCGAGAGTGTAAGATGTATTGAAGCAGAAGAAAAGAAACATGACATAATTGCAGACATGGTGATTCCTGATGTATACAATTTTTGTGCAGCAATTCAATTAACTGCTGTAAAACATATTTGTCAGAGAACTCAAAGAGCAATGAAGTTTATTGATGACATGTCATTACTTCCTACAGATAGACAGACATTAGTATGTTAGAATTATTAAAAAAATGATTTTTTTATATCATAATTTATTAAGATAACAACCTCATTTTTGTATTTAACAGGTTGTGTCTGGAGGAGTTGCATGTAATAATATTTTAGCTAAAGCATTAAGTATTTTAAGTACAGAATTAGGTTATAACTTTGTAAGAACTCCCCCTAATTTATGCACTGATAATGGAATAAAATCCACCAATTGCGAAAATGTTGCATTTTCACAATATTACAAAAGTTTGTGAAAATGCATTAAGAGCTGCAAATTTAAAATTAACAGATATTAATGCAATAGCTACAACTGTGAAACCTGGTCTTTTTTATTCTCTCAATGCGGGGACACAATTTGGAAAATATTTAGCAAAGATTGGAGAAAAACCTTTTATACCAATACATCATATGCAAGCTCATGCTTTGACAGCAAGAATTAATGAAAAGGTTTTTTTACAAAATGCTAATATTTAACATAAAAAATTACTAAAAAGGAAAATAGAAACTACTTTTTAATTACAGATTGATTTTCCATATCTTATTTTATTAGTTTCTGGAGGTCATTGTTTATTAGCAATTGTTGCAGATGTAAATAAATTTTACTTACTTGGTACTACAATGAATAATGCACCTGGAGAAGTTTTTGATAAGGTAATAATAAGAATAGCTTTTAGTTTAAAAAAAAGAAAAATTATTACATTGGGAATAATATTTTGTTTTATTTTATTATAATTGTTTTGTTCAATAAATTTTATGCTTTATTTAATCTTTAATATTAGTTATGTTTTACATAATCATTGAGATTAATTTATGTTTATAGATTACGCGAAGACTCAAATTAAGAAATATTCCAGAATTCAGTAGTTTATGTGGTGGCTTAGCCCTAGAAACTGCAGCAAGTAAAGCATCAGATATTAATCAGTTTTCGTTTCCTCTTATAATGACAAAAGTGCGTAATTGTAATTTTAGTTTTGCTGGATTATTATCCGAGAGTGTAAGATGTATTGAAGCAGAAGAAAAGAAACATGACATAATTGCAGACATGGTGATTCCTGATGTATACAATTTTTGTGCAGCAATTCAATTAACTGCTGTAAAACATATTTGTCAGAGAACTCAAAGAGCAATGAAGTTTATTGATGACATGTCATTACTTCCTACAGATAGACAGACATTAGTATGTTAGAATTATTAAAAAAATGATTTTTTTATATCATAATTTATTAAGATAACAACCTCATTTTTGTATTTAACAGGTTGTGTCTGGAGGAGTTGCATGTAATAATATTTTAGCTAAAGCATTAAGTATTTTAAGTACAGAATTAGGTTATAACTTTGTAAGAACTCCCCCTAATTTATGCACTGATAATGGAATAATGATTGCATGGAATGGTGTTGAAAAATGGAATAGAGATATAGAGGTTATCAGAGATATAAGTAAAATTGAAAAAATTACAGTACAAACAAGGGCTCCACTGGGAGAAGATTGGACTAGAAAAGTAGAAGCAGCAAATATATCGTGCAAATGGATAAATATAAGGAAAAAACTTTACCAATAGGTTTAAAAATGTGATTTTCAATACATATTTTGTGATGTTTTTAATCATTAGTTATTACTTGGTAATCAACAAGACTATTACTTGATAATCAAGAGGGTTGTTATTGTTTTATCATAACATTTATTGAAATAAAAATAAAACAAATCATACAAATGTTGGTGTATATTGTTGAATTTGTCGTTTTATCTCTATATTTAAATTATCATCATTTGAATGAATTTTTTGTTCTTCATATTTGTCAATAACATATCTAATTTTTTTTTTAATGTCCTGTACTTCTGTTGCATTTTTTAAAATCAAAGATGTTGTTAAAATATCATCAAATTGTAATACTCTTTTTGGTTGGATCGATTCATCAAATTCAGAAGAAAATTCTGTCAAATTATGTAATTTTGGTTTGATCTCATTATAGATCTCATTTGCTCCCTCTGTATCCATTTTATTTATTATAATCATTGCAGGTCTATCTAGTAAATCAGGATTATAGAGTTCAATTTCTTTATTCAATAGGAGCACAGTTTCTAAGCAAGATCTATACTTAAATTTACTAGAAACTTGACAGCCCTGAATGTCTACTATGAATAACAATAATTTTGTTCTTTCTATGTGTTTCAAAAATTTATGACCCATTCCTTTATTGATATGTGCATCTTCAATTAAACCTGGTAAATCTGCAACTGAAATCTGTCTATAATCTGAAAATTGTATAGTTCCAATTTGTGGTTTTATAGTTGTAACTGGAAAAAGTACGTATGTAATGAGTAAAATGAAATTACATATACTTATTAATAAAAAGATAATTGCATATTTTATAAGGCAAACTTACATGGATAATTAGCAATTTTTGGTTTGGCTCTTGAAACTGCATTCAAAAATGTACTCTTTCCTGCATTTGGAAAACCTATTAAACCAACATCAGCAAGTAATTGGAGATCAAGGACTATGTTACGTTTTTCGCCTTTACGTCCACAGTATCCTGTTATTTCGCATCCTCCTGTACCACCTTTAGCAACCATCAGTTTCGTATTTTTGGAATTTATTTCTCCTACATTTTTATAAAATAATTATTATAAATAATTACTATTAATCATTAGACTAAGTATGTATATTATGTATGTTCATGTATATTACCAAGTTTGATGCGATTTTCATCATAAATAGTAATACCAAGTGGAACATATATATCTAAATCTGTCCCAGGTATTCCAATGAGGCCTTTTTTCGTACTATCACCTCCAGTTCCTGCTTTTAATTTTGTATCCTTCAGCTTATATTTAACACTTCGTAATGTTAATCCTTCTTTTGCGACCAGGTATACGTTTCCTCCTTCTCCACCTAATCCACCATACTTAGGTAATCCTGAACCACCGCTACCTCCAATTACTTGAATACGTAAACTATCAATCAATCCTTGTCGTTTATATTTTCTTGGTAACTGAATAATTAAATAAAATTCATATCTCATACATTTGTAGACTGTATTTTCCGTTATGCAGTATCATAATAACTGAAGATGAAAACAATATTAAATACATTGACATTAAATTACCTTTGCGGCGTAACCTAAAATTCGAGTTAATATAACCATTCCGTCCTAATAGAGAATTGAACTTGGAAAAGATAGATGTATTAGTTATATTAATTATAAACTCCTTAATATCATAATGTTATTCGTATAATATTAATTTTCATCAAATTATCATAATTTAAGGAATTCAGAGCAAAACATCTACGAACATCTATATTAGAGTAGTTTAAACGAGCAACTAGATGGCATTGTTAAGTTCAAATAGTTAATCAGCATTCAAAAGTGAAAAGGAGATCTTTTAAAATTTAACACATTGTATTATAATTTTGAATGAAAAATATTAGTAAAAGGTCATTTACCTATGTTCTTATTTAAAAGTTATAATTATCTTGTCGATATTCTAGTAATATTTGTTGCCCTTATATTTTTTATATTGTAGTTATTCGAATCATATTTCAATTACCTTTTATTATTTAGAATGCAATATTTGTCTTTAGTAGTTTATTATTAAAATTATTATTGTGAAAACATCATTGTATAAATCGTCATGAATTAAAACAAATCACCTTTGATACACACAACTGATCTTAGAATTATGTAATCAATGTCATTAGGAAACATTATTATAAGTTAATTGAAATTAAATATCAACAATACTAGGTTGCAGAAACTTATCGTTGGTTAACAAATGTTTTTTTACTTAATGTAAAGATACAATGTACAATTTTAAAGATTTAAATGATTATAAATGAAAAATTAGCAAACTATAAAAACGTTTATAAATAATAGACATTTTATGAACCTATTTTAAATGTGAATATTTGTATCACTTTTTATTAAATTTTTAACAAATAAAGATAATTTTAAATATGATCGATTTCACGGAATTCGAAGAAAGATAATAAAATGTGGATATCTCCGGAAGATATTTGAATTGTTACAAGTTTGATGGTTAAAAGCTACTAGCAGGATACGCTATCAGGTCAAGTGAAATCAATTGCGAAGTTTAGCAGGAATTAATTGATGCAGAAATATAGGAGAGTTAAAGAGTCGTAGGGGGAAAGAGGTGATGCATTAATGTAGTTGTGTTCGTTGTTAGTAGAAGTCGGAGGCTCGTCTAACGACGTATGCGTTAAAATTAAATCCAGCCGGAGGCCGACGGCTACGTCTTGCCGACGGCGACGACGACGGCGACGTCGCGATGAGATGCGTCCTCTAGCTCAGTCTCAAGAGCACACCCTGGCTGTACGGATGTTCTGATCTTCAATATATTTACCCCGTTTTTTCGTGCTTTTATCGTCGATTTCATCGATAATACGTTCGACAAATTCCTTCGCAATTGGCGGCAGATTTACTTGTTGAGGTGCAGATTCACTTGTTGAGAAACAACAAATTTTTGCTGTTCTCTTCATTCTATTCCTTCTATCGCTCCTACTTCGCTTGAGCACGAGGTAATTAAAAAAAATGTCATGCTTTTCTTATAGCAACTTTTAGATTCCTCATTGACGTCAATGGGCCGTGTCCTGATTTTTCACGGTCGACATATTGGCTTGAGCAAATTAATATTTTATTTTATGCAAAACGAGATTCTATGGAAAAATCATTTTTCCTTTAATATGCAAAAATGATGGTTCATTGTTCGAACGTATAAATGCTAAATATGAATTTTTGCCAATTTATGTCGAATGACTTGCAAGAAACATTAATATACTTGTTTAAAATGTGATTAACCGTTTGTTGTAAATACAAATTTTAAAAAAAATATAGGAGGAATTAAGAAAGTATATAATTTTAAATCAATAATTATACTATTTTAATTTTTATCTCATACCAAGTTCTATGTAGTACTTTGTTCTAAACTTGTTGTATCTATGTCACTGTAAAATTTTAAATAATGAATAATATTGAATTAAAAGTTGAGCAAAATACTCGTAGCATTGCATCTATATCTACGAAATAATAAATGTAAAAGTTACGCTGTTTTCTACTGATTTTCTTGAATGATCGTAGGACGAAATTTTCAATAGGAGTGGGGAGTGTGTCATCGAGTTACTAGCCTTGATTCTTTGCCAAATAATTGATAGGGAAAGCTCACTGTTGTCACATTCTCGCGCTAATTTTACATACAATATCTACTACGCACAATTGACAATTATCATTATTGTAACAATGTATATGCTCTAATCTTTAATAATTTATACAAAAATTGCAATATTTCATTCAAATTACGAAGTTATATATCAATTGTTTTTTCTCCTCTACTAAGTAACAATTTTCAATAAAAGAAAACTCTACTATGTCTATGTCATGTTTAGAGAATATCATAAATGTTCTATTTAAATTTAGTTTTAATTACTCCCTAGAGAGAAGAAAGAAGAATAGAAAATGTTTCGAAAAAATGCAGGCAGTCGAAGATATTATTATATATGAATATATATACATATATAGCTTTTCTTTCGTAAATTAAAATTTTTATTTATTTTCTTTCTTCTTTTTCTCTATATGAGAAAATTAAGAAATGTGCTTATGTGCTAATTAACATATACTTTATTTGATATTTCTCTAATGGAAAGATGGATCGAGATGATGAAGACTTTGGAGAGGGTTTCATCACAGAATCTCATCCACTTCGGCCAACGCATCTTTCTGTTCCCCTCAGTGGCCGACCGGATTCCAGAGCACCTAGTATCAGCAGCAGTGTTAGTGATATGGATGTACCAATTTATACAAGAGAAACTACTATACCTGTTTCCGGTGGAAAAGTAAGTAAATTGTTTTCACTCATGCTTCAAGTTCCATGTATCAAAATATTTCTAAATTATTTATATCACAAATTGTTTTTATTTCTATTAACATTCTTTTATTTTTCCTTGTGATATTACTAATATTTCTATTGTATTACTAATTTATTATTGACATTTTACATGTAATACGCCATATGTAGTAACAGATACATGAAAGTTATAATAAAGGTACATTGGCAATTATTGTACATCAATTTACACATTATATTATAATTCATATTATATTATAATATAATTCGTATTTATATTATAATTACATATTATATTCATATTATAATCGTTGGTACGTAATACATATGAAAATACAAATATCATTAGACAATGAAATAATAAAAGATCAAGGCATGTAGATACATATAAATATCGATACTCTTTATGCGAGATGTACAAGGGGATGCAGAAAAAGGTAATTTTACTTTTAGAAAATTATTGAAATTGTCTTTAGTTAAAATTTTTTTTCCTTTTTTTCCCTTTCTTTTTGTGTATTTCAAAGCGATTTATATTATTTATTAAACTAAACTAAAAATTATTTGTTTATTAACGACACTCCGTAAAAGAAATATTTAATATAAGATATATAGCAACAATAATCAATGATAATTGTTAAAATGATATGTGGATTTCAATTCAGAGAGAATCAGAAATTAAATGGTATTTTAAATTTCTTTTAGTTTATAATAACAATTAAGAGAATATAGGCGATTGTCGGAATTCTTCCAAGTAACAGTTTTTAACCTTGCGTATCATAGATCATTGATCGATTCTCTATAGTTCGCAGCGAATATCGTTACTCTTTAGTAATACTTTCTTGATAAAGCGATCTGTGGTTTGTTCGAATGACGCAAGATGTGCTTTAAACTACTGCACGTAGATACGTATTTGACCCTAGTTAATGGAATTCTAAGCATTCAATTAATATGCCCTTAGTACCTATAGAATAATTAAACGATACTTATCGTTGCAAAGTAGATGTCGTATTGTATTCATACTGTATGAGTATACATTTTATAAAATCTTATTTTAGTAGTAATATAAATATTATAAATCATTGTCTCTTTTCAACATCTATAATAAAGATAGGATTTGTTTATTTCAGAATATCTTTTAAAATTAAATATCTTAGTACATAAAGATCAGTATTACAATGTTAAATTTAAATTATTAAAGTTTGAGTACAAATTTTCATGGCAGGAATATATGATGCAAACGATGTTTATGAAATTTTTATACTTATTGTCACAATAGTATTAACCAAGTTGTTTAAAATACGTATTGTTTAAGATCTTGTATCACAAAAAACATTAAAATCTTATGTTGTTGTCAACAGGTAAATTTTCCCTTTATTTGGTTCTCTGTATCGAGGCATCAGTCTATAGACATGAAACAGCGGTTTTCATAGTACAGCATTCCACATAAAAGTATTCAATTTTAACGGAATGAAGTGTTTTGTATTCTTACATTTTTGTTAATTATTTATTTGGTTATCAAAGCAGTTAATCTATGATAGTGAATATTGTTTTTTTTTTCTTCAAATAAATATACGCATCTGATAAGTAGGAAATGATTTGAGAACACTTGATAACCTAGCATGTGATTGGTCGATTCGGTGGGTATGTACGAGGCACGTCAGCACGTCACCTGTCGGTGTTCTTTCATTCCTGAAGATTTGTTATCTGACGCAATTGCACGTGAATATTGCAGTATTATAAACATAAAATATATTTTTAAAGAAATATATTCAATTTATATTACTATATTTCGACTTACCAGTTTTTATTTGTTATGAAATTAAATAATTAAATACATCATATGAATAAAACTTAATTTTTATGTTTATGGTATTATAATTTTTAATCAATATGCATTTGTTCAGAATTATTATTCATTTCTAGTGTTTTTTATTTATTGTAATAAACGAAAATCATTCACATCGGTGTTAGTGATGAACTTGGCGTACGTTTTATATGTCACGTTCCTTCGACACTTAGAATTCTTGTCTTTCGTATAGCACGTCTGACTCAATATACATACATAATTTGTCACAAGTGTTATTCATTCTTAACATAAGCGTACTTTCATAATACTTTCTATATTTTCTTAGCAAAGTATAGGTAGATATTATTATATGAATATTATTGACACATCAAATTTTATGATTGAAATATATATTTATAAATTACAATTAATTCATAGACAAATGTTTTAAAATCTTGAATTCAATTATGACTACTTTGAATGAGAAAATTAAAGCGGATGGAGCATAATTTAAAATGTAAATAATTGTTTTATGACATCAATATGCTCAAGGGAATGACTTTAAATTTCTTACGTGTGTCTACTTCACAAAGATAAAATACTAATACTGAAATATTTTACATCACATATTTTATTTTACATTTTATTTTTAATTAATTTTATATTTTCAAACTACAAATTCAAAAAAAAGATATTATTACAAAATTTGGATTCATTTAAAATTATTCATACTTGAATAAAAATGTTACTATTCTTATTTTTTACTATCACTATTATAATATTATCTGTTAAATTTAATACAATAAATGAATATTTTGAAATACAATAATACATCGTAGAATTTAATAATACAGTAATTCAGTAATACGATAATAAGGTATAATGCAATTACAATATGTAATAAAATATATAGTTTTAAACTTTAAAAAAAGAATTCTAGATAACTACTGTGTCGAATGAAATTTTGTCATAACATTAAATTAAAAGTAGAGGTAATGAGGAAGAGAGAGAGAGAGAGAGAAAGAGAGAGAGATTCTTGGGGGCTCGCCATCTGCCGCCGAGTAATGACGTCGTAAGCTTGCATCGAATGTGAAGCCATTGTCCTTCGCCCACGCGGTAGTTTCGTTCGTTTTGTTTAAGATGAGATAGCGAAGTGCGTTTTTCTATCTAATTACATGCTTTTATTGCTTTTTTTCTTTGCTGTTCAATAATTTAATCAATATTCTATACTTAGAAAATTTTAGCCTATTTCTAGTTCTATACTTGGGAAGAGGTTAGAATATTGTTGTGTATATTCCATACATATAGCATTTGTTTATACGAAAACAATAACTTTTATTTTTAAACAAGTGATTATTGAAATAAATTTGATTAAAGTACAAATTATAAATAATTAAGATTTTGCTTCAAATTTCTTCATACTGATTATACAATCTGTTGTCATTTATAATGCTTACAATATATAATCTTTGGGTGTAAATATTGTAATTTTTGTTCGAAAACAAGATTATAATTTCTTTTAATTTTGAATTAAAATATGTATAGGTTTAGGTATACGTTAGAAGTTCAAAACATATCGATCTACCGGCAAACGTTTGTCCCAAATAGATGCCTGTGGAGGCGCAGGCTCGATAAAAACATCTAGAAATGGAAGTGTTAGTATACGTTATACCTTACGTGAATACGCGCGTTGCAAGTTAAGGAACATTATTTAACATATTACTGATAATATAATGGATTTATAAAAATACCACTATTTTTATTTGCATCGAATAATTGTTTGATTGTGTATAAATATCTGCATTTAAATTAATTGTGGTACGTTTAAAAGGTTTGTCACGTAAAATTCAAGTACGCAATCGGCCTTTCAGTCATACATTAAATTATTATAAATTTAACTATTGTGTAATATTTTTAAGAAATAATATTTAAAGTTGATTAGTTTTCAAGTTATGTAAATTATATATTAATAAGTAAAGATTATTACAGTGCATACTGACTTTTAGTGTGAAGTGTAGAAAAAAATATAAAAAATGGTCGTTGCAAGAGATAAGTACAAATATTAAAATTTCCACATTTTTTTTAAGTGGTATATTCTCTAAAACATGTAAAGTGTTTGACAAGGTATTACAAATAAACTAATAGTAATAAATAAAGCATAGTTTGATTAATTTTGTAAATGAATATCGTATGAAATAATTTACATGTCTAAATTTTGTATGATATGAAAGGCTATTTTACTATATATTAAATATTATTTTATTAAAAAAGGAAAAGAATATATGAATTATTTGAAGAACGTTTAAACTATAGAGCAAAAGTAAATAAAAAGATATTTTTAACCTCAGTAATTAAGAATAAAGGAAAGACGGGTAGAATAGAAGAGAGTGTAGATTTTATCTAGATTGTAATTGTTTCCTCGTGTCAAAAACGAAATGAAAAGTAATTTTGCGATAAGGTCAAAGATGAAGCAATCGTATGTTCGGAATTACAATAAATAGTGTAAGCCGGTAAATTTTTGCGCGTGCGCTCGAAAACCCGATAGGACTCCATGTTCGGTTGTTCGTTCACCCAGAGAGTATAAGCACACGAGGATCGAACGAAGTCTCCTGGAATAAGCCACGCCTGCGTTTCCTTCTTCTACGTCATCAACAGTAAGTGAACGTTTGGTTTGTCTTGCGCTTTTAATTCGCGCGGCAACTCATATCTGTTTACTTCTGAAAATTCGTAATATGAATTCTACTTTGTCTTTTTACTAATATCAGTGCAAACCTAACCCAAATGAAAGTTGGCTGATAATTACGAGTTATAAATAGACACGTATCATTAGTTTGGTTTACAAATGGAAAATATCAATGTTTTCGACTTTCATGGAATTGTTCACACTGTACTATGGCAATACAAATGTACATAGATTTTCTTCTGATAAAATTTCTCGATAACTTAGTGAGTAATTGTTTAAGTTAATACACATTGCTTCTAGTCGTTTACGTTTTAAACTGAATCGATACGAATAAACATTTTTAATACTTCGATAAAATGTGTGCATGTTTGACCAGATATCAGTCATTGACGATACGAAATTAAAGGAGATATGACTGAATTTCATTCAGAGCTAAATTTCGGCACAAAATGTTTTGATATGTGCATTGCAACAAAAAAGGTAGCTTCAACAGAGAAAATGTTTTTCAACTAAAATTCAT